CCCGGTGGTGGGCGTTTCCTGGTCAGGTATGCTTATTATTTTATTAGCACTAAATCTGTATACTTCTATAACACTCACTGTTGAGATGGGGTGTTTGTATAGGACCACCGGCCACTTATTTGATTGTGATGGTGTGTGTGTATATATATATATATATATATATATATAACATATATAAAATATATATATATATACACACACACCATCACAATCAAATAAGTGGCCGGTGGTCCTATACAAACACCCCATCTCAACAGTGAGTGTTATAGAAGTATACAGATTTAGTGCTAATAAAATAATAAGCATACCTGACCAGGAAACGCCCACCACCGGGTGAGATCCTGAAATATGATGCATATCAATGAAGTAATATAAAAAAAATAATATGTTGACTTACCCCAGTCACAGGCAAACAGATGTGTGCAGAAATGCCACAGGAGTAAGACACAGCTAGGTTGTGCAGATAATGTGCGACAAATGTATTGGGAGTTGTTCACATACCAGACTGAATGATCTCCTCCAAAGGACAGTGTTTTGAGCAGCTAAAGACATAGTCAGATGACGAATTTGGTGCGAAAAATCATTATGTAGACAGTAACCTTCCATGGAAACGTCAGAATACACCAGTCGTATGAGTTGATGAACCCAACCAGTGAGCATAATATGTGATAGATCACAGGAAATAGAAGAATTCCATGGAAGAAATAAACAGGAATGAGAGCTATGAAAAGAGGCAGTACAAGCCATATAACATAGCAGGGAAAAAACTGGACAAAGTAGTCAATCCAGATCCAAACAGGAATACAGGTAGGAAATGGAGGGTAAGGAATAGAGGAAAAGGCTAAACAACTTTCTTGGGCAGCTGATGTCCTGAGAAGGAAGGTCAGATCCAGATAGAGGGTAACATACGAGGAATGGTAAAAGATGTGGGAAACATTAATGGCATAAATATCAAAATGATGATGACTACATGCCAGAAGGGGAAGGAAATACCTTTTATGGGAAAGATGGTGTAAAGAACACATTGCAGTGGGTTCAAAGGGAAAACCGGACAGGACACGAAGGACAATAGTAAGATCCCAATCTGGAAGAACAAAGAGACATGGCAGATGGACCAGATGAAAAAGGAGGGAAATAACTGGGGAAGAGAAGACTTTCCAGAAGTGGAAGAACTGAATGTGGTCGAAATGGCAGCCCTATAATGAGCAGCAGTTGAAACAGACAAAACCTGATCAAACAACCAGGTGAAAATCTGGAATAGTTGAGGAACAGAAGGAGAGTTGTAAGGAAGAGCAATTGGTACGGGCAAGGACAAAAGCTTAGCTTCAAGATGGAGTTTGGCGACGTTGGGATAAAATATGTTCAATCGTAGTTGACAGAGGTAAAGGCAGGGGTTGTTACTCCAATAAGGGCCAGAGGAGAGGGTATTGTCTCAGCCAGCCAATATGGAGCAATCAGCAGAACATGACAAGGAGTGGTCTGAATAAGGGAAATGACTCTTGAGAGGAGTCTGATTGGAGGGTAAGCATATAGGTGAAGAACACTCCAATCTCAACTGAAGGCATCCATCCCCAGAGGTGAGGGCGAGGAACTGGAAACCAAAAGGAAGGAAGTTTGGCATTCCAGTGAGTGGCAAATACATATATATGTGGTGTTCTCAGTTAAGAAACCAACAGAAATACCTGAGAATAAAGTGACCACTCCATGAGGAGAACCTGGTTGGACAGGATAAGCAAGTGACCACAAGATTCATAATTCTGGGAAAATAACACACCAGAACCATCGTTGTGGTTGTTGGCCTAGTACAGGTGATCCAGAGTCTAAAAACACAGAGATCTAAACTTGGTTCCCCCTTGCTTGGTGATATAGCTGATGACAGTAGAATTGTCAGAATGAACCATAACCACCCAATCTCACAGGTGTGGAAGGCAAAGATACAGAGCCCCATGAACTGCCAAAGGCTACAGGATATTGATATGGAGAGGAGACTCCTTGACTGACCACCAACCCAAAATCTCTTGGACATCAAGGAAAGCCTCCAACCCATCAAGAAGGCATCTGTAAACAGATGAGACTAGGGACAAGGCAGAGGAATGGTGACCCCCACCATGGTCAAGTCTCTGTCAAGCCATCAAGCAAGATCAGCCCTGATCCCAGGTGGAAGGGTGATGGGATGGTCCAAGGGATCGTGGGAGAAGTTCCACTGGTCGAGATGCATCCAATGAAGGGAATGCTTGTGCACCCAAACCAAAGGAATGAGAGTTTCCAAGGAAGCTCACATCCCTAAAAAGAGATAAAACCTCTCACATAGAGAGAGAAACAGAAGGTAGGGCCTTTGTGACTGCCTGCTCCATATCTCAGAGATGAAGTGAAGAAGGATGGGCCCGATGGAGATGGGAATTGAAGAGAACCCCAAATGAATAAGATACTGTGTGGGTGTAGTCAAGAAATTCTCCAACTTGATGAGAAACCCCACCCAAGCAGCTTCTTGAAGAAGTATGCAGGTGTGTGTGACTGACTGAGCACAGGAAGAGGCGAGCAGTAGCCAGTCATCCATGTAATGGTGAGTCCAAAGTGAAGATGACATGCAAAAGTACATACCACCAGACAAAGCACATATGAAGCTGAGGAAAGACCAAATGGCAGCACCCAGAACTGAAAGACAGAACATTCGTGGATAAACCGAAGAAAATGACGTGACACAGGGGCAATTGGAATATGAAGATAAGCGTCTGTCACATCAAACTTGGTCATCAAAAGTCCAGGGAAAAAAAAAACCTGAAGTGAGAGATAGGACTCCATGGTGAAACAAGGAGTCTCCAAATAGGTATACAGCTGGGACAGATCTATGATGGGCCTCCAATCTTCTGTGTTTTTGGGGACAACAAATAGACAGGAGTAAAATCCTGGATGAGTGGGCACCACCCGTTCGATAACTCCTTTGTGTT